CTATATCCAATCGTTTGCTTTCCTCCATTTCTGCCATTTGTGACCTGTTTCTTTGTCTCCGCATTTTGGCAGCTTCCCTGTGTTGATAGAGTGGCCCTGTGCGCCAGGTGTCCTGTAGGGCCCAGTAGCTCAGCCTCCCCAGTTACCTGGGGTGGACACTCTTGGTGCACTCTTGGTGCCTTGGTTGTTGTAGAATCACTGGGAGGAATTGACCTCCAGGCCAATTGGCTGTGAGAATCAGCTGTGTCTAAAGTGGGAGAACTTCTGTGCTGAAGACACCCTTCTGGGGCAAGACTTGCTTCAGTGGGGCTTTGGTGCTCACTGAGTCTGCTCCCTGAGTGTGTCCCTTATGGATCTGAGGAGTTTCAGTCTGGATGGACCCCCTCTGACCACTGGGTACAGTGGCTCCTGGATCTAAGGAGGTGCTAATTCAGCCTCTGCCTGAGGCCACACAGCAGGAGCCACGAAGAGGCTCAGCTGTGAAGCAATGCAAGCCGCTGCGGGGCCTTGGGCCTTCTCTTGGAAGTTCAGGGTCTGCCTGGTTCGGCTGCAGTTAGGTACATTCACATGCAAAAGCCTCTGCCGCAGCCTGGGTGGGGTGGGGTCTCAGGGAATCAAAGGGCGGATCAGGGAGCTATGGCCGATTCTCCGCCCGGAGTCGCGCGTCTCAGTGTCCCGGTAACGGCTGCAAGCACCTCTGAGGGAAAGCCGCCCTCAAGTTCGCTCGCTGCCGGACAGACCAGCCTCTCCCCGTATGAGTCCTGGGTCCCCAGAGACTTCCCGGAACCGGAGTTCAGAGCAGTCAGGAGCTTGTGACTCAAAAAGACAGCCGCGTCCTCAGGTGCTACCCCCTTTCCTCGCGCGCGCGAGCCGCCGTACCTCTGCACTTCACCTCCGCAGCGCCTCTGGCTCTCAGCGTGCTTTTCTTTCCTTCTAGTTGTAGAATTTACACTCAGCCAGCCTTCCTGTTGTTCTGGATGATGTTTGCTCAGTCCTTTGCGGTAATTTTCAATTGTTGTGTGAGGCGACAATTTCCCGGTGTTTACCTATGCCGCCATCTTAGTTGCTTCCCCCCTGAACTTTTCTTAATGGTTAGTATATGGACTGATTACAAACTCGTTGGAAACCCATGGTACTGAATAATGAATTTATTCAAATGAAACAGATATGCACATCCCCCAGTCTCTGATTCTCTGGGGGTCCATATTTTCAATGAGTATTTAGGTGAAGATGTAGACCAATACGATCCTATTTGTATGTGACCAAACTGGGAGATGGCGTAGTGGACAAGAAAATCAGGGTCCCAAAAGACCTGAACAATGACTTGAATTAAAAAAAAAGCTGGCATCAGCACTCTTTTTCATTCTAAATTCTCAATTATACAGGTAGAGACTAGAAGCCAAATGACTTAGCGGTTGCACATGAAAATTAGAGATTTGAGAGGACCACAAACTTATTATTCATCAGCAAATTTGAAACATGATTAGTTGAGGGCAAAAGGATTGTCAGGAAACCTTTATTATTATATAATCTGGGGCTGGAGTGATGGAATTTCATGAGTACGTTACCTCCAGATGTGACCATCTAAAGAGATGTATGTTACAAATCGCTGTGCTTGTGTCTAGACGAGGCGAACACACACGGGGTTCTTCCTGCTTTGACAGAAGTCCTCTTAAGGGAGAATGGAAGGAACCGGGAATTTTGATCTGAAACAAGTCTACTCAGAGGCCATGATAGCTGTTTCCAAATTTTAACGCTCACGATATAAAAGAATTTATTTTAATCTGTTGTCTCTAAAAACGGGAATTGGGAGCCACGGGTGAAAACTCACCTTTTTCTCTCTATGGACGACTTTCTTTTGAGCTCGATGAGCACTATGACCTTGAATCAGAATTTTGGTCTCCAGTCCCAGCTCCGCCATGTGCTAGAAGACTTACTTTGGACAAATCATTTCACTTTTATATGAATCAGTTTTCTCTCTTAAACCGTGTGGCTATTGGTAATTCCTCAGTATGTTTTTGTGTTGATGAGGGTTCAAATAAAAACACACACGTGAAGATGCTTTAGGAAACATAGAAAGCCACCGTGCGTGTGTGTTTTGTTGTTGTTTTATCACAGCTGGCTAATCCTCCTCGGGGGTATCTTAGGAATTTCAAACAATGTCCTGGTGGTTACACCGCATTAAAAATTGAAGACGTTTCTACCTTAAGACTCACTGGATGGTTGCCCTGTGGTTTAGGGCCTGGCATTGTGCCTTAGAAGTCATAGAGCAGGTTAAGGGAGACCAGGTAACCTCATTTAGTAGCAATGTGGCGGGGGACCTGGTAGTTGAGGAGGGAGTGCAGGCTTCAGGGGTGTCTCTCTGTTGTAGAGTGTGGATTCCTCAGGCTGGGCCACCGTCCTGGCGGTGATCTGGCTGCATGACAAGTATAAGGACATGAAGAGCGAGTGGGAGCTTCTGGAGCGGAAAGCTGTGGCCTGGATTCACAGCCATGCAGGTAGGAGCACCAGCCTGAGCCCTCAGCTCCTTCCCTCCTTAGGAAGCTCCGCATCTTCCCGGACATTGAGCCCCCGGGCCGGGCCGTCCTGGTCCAGACCTTTTGGGTCTCCCAGCTAGTTCTCTCCTGGGCAGGATGAGGGGGCAGTGGGAGGCGTGTGAAGAGGGAAAGGGGCATCGATGGGGAGTGTGAGTTGGAACAGGGACATGAAGTGGCATTTATTCTTCTCACTCTGTCAGTGCTATTCTGAGAGTGAGACTGAACTTGGGGCATTTCTTTTTTGGGTGTTTATTATCTCATTGCTGCTGGATATTGCTGGGGCCAGAGGGGAGGAAAGGGAATCTGGGCAATGTGATGAGACAATATGGGGGTGCTAAGCAAAGATACAAGCAGGACTCCGGGGAGATGACCGAGGAGGTTGAGGGAAGAAGGGAGAAAGGCACTTCCTCTCAACAATATCAATGGGAGAAAGGCTGTTGTCCCTCAGCCCTCATTTTTGTTTTCTCCTCTCAGGCGCCGCCACGGATGGGCTGGTGAAAGCTGCTGTGGGCTTTCTGAAGTCATCGGTGGATCCTGCCGTCTTTGCCCCCTGAGGATCCCGACCAGAAACACACGTGCTCCTTCATGCTCCTGTCCCCGCCTGTACCCTCTGTCTTCCAGAACGCGATCTTGTCTTGTATGCCTCTCCTGTCGGCTTCCTGTAATAAAAGTCAACGATGCCCGTCCCGCCTTTCCTCCAGGTTCCAGGGTCCCTCTGGATATGATATCCTTCCCCCAGCATGTGCCCTCAGCCAGGCATCAGGCCTGTTCTCTTTCTGAAAGGAGTTCAGAGGCAGTGAGGTCCCTCCCGGGTTTTTCAGAGTGACAACATGAGAAATGAGGGGCGTGGACTCCAGGCTACAGGTTGCTGGGTTGATGTTGGGGATTGCCTGGACTGGAAAGTTCTCTGCATTATTTTTTGTCTAATCAGTATTGCTTTTGGGGACTTAGGAGGACAAGACTGGTGAGCTATCCAGTTTTCTATTCTTGGGTAGAATAAAGAGATGGAGGGGCGGTTGACAGCCAACATTGGGATCCACATAACCTCCACATGAGGTTCAAGGGCCCACTGTGAAGGTTGGCACTGTTGGGGACCTTCTTGGTCGATTCTGCCTGGGTCTTGTTAGCCTATACTGCCCGCCTCCCCTCATACTGCCCAAGGGTTGAGTGGTAGCTGTGGGAGACAGATGTTTCTTCTTAATCAGGATGCATCTTAGTAAGAGGGCCATCATGGGATCCTTCGTCCTGGCCTGAACCCATGCGGCCTCTGAATCGGGCTCTGATCTAGTGTACTTTTATAAAAAGCAGGGCTAAAGGCAGCTTTGCCTGAGACCAGAAACCTGGGCCATTCATCCCAAGAGGAAGAAAGGAGCTCCCCGTGATCATGTCTGACCTTGCAGTCCCACACACTCTATCCTAGTGGAAGGGACCCTATTGGATGTGTTGTTCCCTAACATACTGTTATATCAATATTAAAATGACTCTTGGTTGTATCTGATATAGATTTATTCATTGGATCTGCATGGGTTTTCTCATCCCTTGTTTTCCCTCCCGACTTTTTTTAAAATATATTTTTATTGATTTTTGTTCTTTATGCCTGTGTTCCTCTCTTTCTCTCTATTCTTCTCTCAACAGTCCCTTTAGCTTTTCTTGCAGAGCTAGTTTGGTGATAATAAACTCCTTTAGCCCCCTTTTTTTTTTAATCTGGGAAGGTCTTTATTTTGAGATCTCTAAATATATCCCCATTTTGGCTTCTGTTGTAGGTAAAATGTCCTTATGTAGTAGATGTCTTGTGAAACTCAGTGATACAGGCTTTGTTATTATGTGAACCAGGTACTCCAGAGATGTCCTTTGTGTGGGTTATATGAGCACTCTTGTTGTTAGTAAGTCTTGATGGCTGCTGATTTATCTATGGATGGGTTTGACCCTCAGGCTAGCTGACTGTGGAGAGATATAGATAGTTCCCATTTGACTGCACCCTTTCTGATGATCTCATTACTATTATCTTATAACTAGATGATGAATTAGTTTCACAAACTAATTGCTCCCTCAGAGCCATCAGTGAGTCCAAAGTAGGGCTTAAGGGGGTTTGAAAAAAACTTTCAAGGAAGCAATCCAGGGAGAGTGAGTATGGGCAGGTCTCGATGGTGCAAACCCTAGGAGACTCAACTCTTTATAAGTAGGAGACCTGACACACCTTTAGCTGGAGCACTCTGTGCTCTGCCGAGAAGCAGTAACTGACAGGTCTCATAACCACACTTTGGAAAATTTGACTGTGCTCTCAGGTAGCCTGTGAGAATGTCCACACTGCGGCTCTTATATGACTACTAGAGGCCTAGTACACGAATTCGTGTACAGGTGGGGTCCCTCAGCCTGGCTGGTGATTGGGGCCGATGGGGAGAGGGGCTGGCAGCTTTGGGGAGGGACCGCGGAAGGATGGCCCCAGCAGCAAGCTAACCAACGGCCAGTTCCATGAGTAATTGGGCTCCCTCCTCCCTCCTATCTGGGTCCAGGGTGCAGGTGAACCAGATTCAGGACTGTCAGGGCCCAGCAACAAAGTCTGTGTCAGTGCACTTCATAGCTATGGGCTGGTCAGCCAGTTGTTCTGGTCATTCCGGTTGTTGGGTCATAGTGGTTGCTTAGGCTTTCATATATATATATGAGCTCCAGCCCCACACACAGGGTCCTTCCTGGTCCTTGCCAACTTCTTTTTCCTAGAATGGCCTTCTTATAAAATCATCCAATACCAAGGTGTCTGATCATAGGAAAGGATCAAAGACCACTGACAGCCTTCCCTGACCTGTGACAGATGCTCCATATTGAACAGAAATCTGCACGGCTCAGAGATAGTGCTCATGTGTGCCTAGAATTAGTAGCAAGAAGGCTGTGGTCAGTAGCATTTCTTCTCCATAATGCCACTGTTTCTCTCTTTTTTCCATCTTGGCTTTTGCTCAGTTCTGGAGCAATAGGTGAGTTACTCATTTTGGCATGGCCATTCTATATAAATATGTGTTTAAGTGGCACCTGCCACAGGTTATGATTGGAATCCGCATGGTGAATGTGTCTCTTTAACTTCCAAGTTCCCACATTGGGGTTAATATTCAGGTGTAGTGTCAAAGGTAAGACATAAGCCCGTTGTGTGATTTTAAAAACTAAATTAGATGTTAACTGGCTGTGCTCTAATGTCAAGCCTGGAAATGACCAGGAAGAAGTCAAATGGGATCCCTTTCCTACCTAAGTATGAAATGACGATGCCAACCCATCTAGAAGGGTATCCTTGCCTAACGATGGGACAGGCTGTCCTTAAAAAGACAGGCAAACAGAAGGCAGTGTTCCTGGTGGTGAAGGGCGTGGACAATAGCATGAAATAGCTGTGTCATGGGCTTGCTTTGTAAATGTTGGCAATTTGCTTACTTTTTCTAATTTTTGTTTCCTGATTTGTAGATGGCAATAGTAGTAATAGTTTCTTCTTACAGGTTTATTTTTAAAACGTGTCATATTTTTTAAAGTGTTAAGCCCAATCCGTGCTACACAGGAAATAGTCATTAAATGACATACATATCAATGCATGCACCTATGTAGCATTAGTATTGGTATTAGTATTGGTATTAGTATGTGTTGTCAGAGGAGGAGATCTCCATGCTGCCAGACCCTATGTCCTGCTCTTGACTTGCTGAACCTTCCTCAGTAGAGCTGTTCTTTGACCTTCTGCCTATGGGTCCCAGTATTTATTTCTTCATCACAGGAACATGAATTTGGTGCCTTCCTTGCTGCTACTATTTCTTTTACATAGCATTTCAGATTTGCCTCAAATGCACCAAGAAAATGTTAAAAGGACCAGAAAAACCAGAGTAGCATCTCCTGATAAATTTGGAAATATTAAACCTCCCGCTTCTGGGAGGAAATAATCTTGAAATGATATGTTCTAAGTCTATTCAATAGTGTTGTTAAATAAGGCATCTTTTTGAAAATCATTATACACAACCAGCATTAAAGAAAAGCATGTAAAGAAATAACTTTTAAGATAAAAGAAAGGAAATCTTTTCATTTGGATTTTTTTTTTTGCCAAATATTTTCATAGACATTTCAGAAACTTTACTATTGAATGAGGGTGTTTTTGTTGTTCCTGTTCCAGTTATGATAATTATGATTTTTATTTCATAGGTAATGCAACTATGCCAATGAAAAATGTTGTATAAATTATGTAAATGAGTACAGTGAAACCGGGGTTTAAATGAAGTGTTCTGATTTCTAATGCCATTTCTTTTCCTGATATTTTTCAGCGGGTATTAAAGAGTACGAGTTTGTTGCTCAGAGATATTGTGACAGTTCAAAATATGCCTAAAGAGAGTAAATCTGTGAATTAAAAAACTATAAAAAGGTTTCCCACTTCACAGGAGAATGTTTTGAATATACTTTAAACTCCTGGCCTTCTCATCCAAGACAGCCACCTGTCTCCACATACACATTCCTTCCCGGGGTTGGATAGGATGTGGCTCTAACATAAGCATCTCTTACTAACTCAAAGTTTTATACAGACATTGCCATTCCTAGGAGGGCTGGGTTCTGCTTGTTAAAAACACAGCCAAAGCTCTCCTCAGCAAGCAGCTCGATAATTTGCTATTGGTGTTCACACAGTAGTGTCTCAAGTTCCTTTCCAAGGTCTGGCCAGAGCCATGAGGAATGCCTCAGTGGTGACCGAGTTCATCCTGCTGGGCATCCCACACACAGAGGATCTGGAGACCGTGCTCTTTGTCCTGTTTTTGACCTTCTACGTCTTCACTCTTGTGGGAAACCTGCTCATCCTGCTGGCCATTGCCTCCTCCGCTCGACTGCACACCCCCATGTATTTCTTCTTGTGTGAGCTGTCTGTGTGTGACATATTTTTCCCTTCTGTGAGCTCCCCCAAGATGCTCTTCTACCTCTCAGGGTACAGCCGAGCCATCTCCTATGCCGGCTGCGTGTCCCAGCTCTTCTTTTACCATTTCCTGGGTGGCACCGAGTGCTTCCTGTACACGGTGATGGCCTATGACCGTTTTGTGGCCATCTGTCACCCTCTACGCTACCAGGTGATCATGAGCCCCAGGGTGTGTGCCATCCTGGCCTCGGGGACCTCGTTTTTTGGCTGTGTTCATGCCACCTTACTAAGCACTCTCACCTTCCAGTTACCCTACTGTGGCCCCAATGAGGTGGACTACTTCTTCTGTGACATCCCCGTGATGCTGAAGCTGGCTTGTGCGGACACCGCAGCCCTGGAGATGGTGGGGTTCATCAGTGTGGGCCTCATGCCCCTCAGCTGCTTTCTTCTCATCCTCGCCTCCTACAGCCGCATTGTCTACTCCATCCTGCAGATCCGCTCCGCCGAGGGCCAACGCCATGCCTTCTCCACCTGCAGCGCCCACCTCACTGCCATCCTACTTTTCTACATGCCAGTGATCTTCATCTACTTAAGGCCAACGCCAAGCCCCTGGCTGGATGCAACGGTTCAGGTTCTGAATAACCTGGTCACCCCCATGCTGAACCCCTTGATCTACAGCCTCAGGAACAAGGAGGTAAAATCATCTCTGAGGAAAGTCCTGCATCAACTGGGCTTTCTTCCTGAGCACTTGTAGTGAAAGAACAGTAGCCAACAAGTGAAGTGCACATGCAACTTATAAACTATTTTTATATGCACCTCACAAATATCTTTTTAAATGGGAGAGTCCAGATATTAGGATTTGCCTCCATTGTATAATATGGGCACTAGGATTCAAAGAGTTCAAGTGGGTTGAACGTGAAGCATATGTAAGGACTGATGGCAGAATGACTTCTACCTCTTGGCTGGCTTTCTGAGTCTGGGGCCTGTGCTTTCTCCAGGACATCATATTGCTGATGAGGTGGAAAGGAGCCTACCACAGCAGGCAGAATAACCTGCACCTTCTGCTTCTCAAGCTTTATTTTCTTTGTCCACCTGCACCCTTTTGTCCTCTTCTTTGTCCTCCTCACCCTGACACTCTATCCTGGCTGCGTTATTGTCTCCTCAAATGCCTGAACTGAATAAACACTCATTGTATTGGTCTGCATATTGTTGTGAAAAAATGGAGTTGTGGAAAGAGAATGACTTGTAGCAGGGACCTGAGGCAAGTTTCTTCTGAGTGAAGCAAAGGCACTGGTGGCCTGCTGTCACACAGAAACTCTATGTGTTGGGTTTTGACCTGGAAGTAGGCCCTGGCTGTATCAAGTTTATTTACATGTAGAGGTGCAGCATGGCAATGAGAATGTGGGAAGGGCAGGTGGGGAAATTCATGGGATGGTGACTGTGATCTGATGCCACATTAGAAAATCTGGACTTGGCTTTGCGTTTCTCAGTCCAACCAGGGGCCCATTCTGGGTTCAAGCGGTCATTATTTGTGTCTGGTTTCCGTTTCAGTGAAAAGGTGTGACATTGTTCCCCATTCCTTCATATCTCTCTCTCTCTCTCTCTCTCTCTCTCTCTCTCTCTCTCTCTCTCTCTCTCTTTCTCTCTCTCTCTCTCTCTCTCTCTCTCTCTCTCTCTCTCTCTCTCTCTCTCTCTCTCTCTCTCCTTTCTTCTTCTTTTGGCTGAAATACGCTAAGAAGAACAATAATGCGCTGTTCCAATGCAGTGCACTATTGTGTTTATGACTGGAATTCATTGAGAGTCCTAGCACACTTGAGGCATGTGGAATAAACTATTGCAATTTATTCTCATAGTGAAGTTGAGAGGGAAGGAAACTGAGAAGAGGATGATGGGAAAGGAAGGGACAGGGGTGGAGACCAGTTTGTCTGTCCTTCTCAGCATCAGAGAGCAACCCAGGAATCTGCCAGGCCTACCAGCACTGCTGTGCCTGTGCCTCCAACCAGTGTGGGGAGCCAGCACATGCTCCTGCAGGGGAGACAGACTCCCTCCTGCCCCTTGTCTTACATGCCTCCAAGCCTTCTCAGCCTGATTCTCCTTGTTTCTCAGGAAACAAGAGCTTGAAGAAGGAGGTGGCAATGCATCTCTAGTTATTTCACATGTCGTGGGTCCCTGCTGGAGCCTAAGTCCACCTGAAGATCTCCTCCCATTCCTTAATTTCCTGGTGGGAGCTGCTCAGATGGTCCAAATAGAACAGTTTTTTAAGAATAAAAGATGCGATCCAGTTCCTTTTCATTTTCACTCAGACAGAGGTCATTTGGTGAGAAATTTTGTGCTATGGGTCGGGAATGCAAAGATGAAGAAGAGGTGATCCTAGCAGAGTGAGTCATAGTCTGCCTGAGAAAAGACACAAATGTGCAGCTGACATCCCATGAGAAAGATGTGAAATATGGCAGGGAATATGGAATATTTTTTTCTGGGCTGTGGAGGGACCTCACAAAAGAGGTGTTGAGGGTTAAATGCTTTTGTTTGTTCTGTCTTCCCCCCACATACATACCCCATATAGAATGGCTTTTATAGGGAGAAATGTTTTATAGGGAGAAGCATCTCAATATTTTTTTTGTTGGGTTTGTGGGAATGAGACATAATTCCTTGAGTGGGTATCTCAACTATTTACCATCTGTGAGTGAACATTCTTGTAAGAATAATAAAATTAATTTCACCTGGCTCTGGCTGGTTTGGCTCTGTGGATAGAGTATCAGCCTGAGGACTAAAGGTCCTAGGTTTGACTCAGGTCAAGGACACAGGCCTGGGTTGTGTTCTTGATTCCAGCAGGGGGCACGTGTAGGAGGCAACCAATCTCTCTCATCATTGATGTTTCTATCTCTCTCTAATCCCTTCCTCCCTGAAATCAATAAAAATAAATTAAAAAAATTTTTTTAAAGTGTTCATAAAGTTTTTGGATTTTAATGGCTACCATTGTAACCACTATGGTCATATACTGGTACATGATCTATTGTTAATAAGGTTTAATTGAATTATCATCATGAAATTAAATTATCCTCTTGTTATGTTAGGTCAGTGTCATTGAAAACTTTTACAGTATAGATGAAATTATAAAATTTCAGAATTAGTAAGAATTTTAAACATATTTATTTAAAGTGAGAATATCCTTAATTACATACCAGAAGGATGATTCTCTCTACACCTTCCAAGAGCTAGCTACCTCACAAGGTTGCTTATTTCACTGATGTACATGTAGATGTGCATCTAATAATTAAATATTTTCTATCTACATTGAAAATCAATGTGTTACTACCAGGTCTTCCCACAGTTCCTGAGTCTCCACATAGAATAGTGCTTTTCCAGTTTCCGCCAGCCCTTCAGGCATTTGGAGACCATACTCTATCTCTGCTGCTCTTTGACTGCAATCCCAAATCTCTGGGAATTGATGAGATATTGCCTAAAAACAATATGACTTTGAAAATAAAGCGCCAGTCAGTTTCTAGTTATGTCATATGAAGTTATTTATTCTGTTTCTCAGTTTTTTTGTAGAATAATACCACCTACATTATAAAGTTTATTTTGGAGGTTCAATGTAACAACTACTTTTAAAATTTAGCATAATACTTAGCACATGATAAGTGCTGATCAATAAATAATTAATGGAATATGGGCTATTTTGTCCATAATTTTCCTTTTGAGATCATTTATACCCCCTTTCACCTATGAATGTGCCTACTATGTGACTATTTCTCTTTAAAAATGACTTAAAGCACACATAATAGTTGACACATGATGAGTAGCTATTCACTAATTAGATTTCTGTCTTGAATAGTGATACTTAGGAGAGGTAAGTGTGGAGTCATCTGGATATATACATAATTCCCAGACCGATGAGACACATGACATCACAAGCAAAGGCTTGAAGGTATGAAAGAAAACACACAAAAAGGGGGTAGCTCTACAGGTGATCAAATGTTAGCACTGGTGCTCCTACCATGCAAACTATCTTGGAGAGATAGAGATATTGCCCACTTGACTGCACCCTATCTGATAATCTCATTACTATTATCTTATAACTAGATGATGCATTAGTTTCAAACGCTAATTGCTCCCTCAGAGCCATCATTGAGTCCAAAATAGGGCTTAAGTGGGGTCTGAAAAAACTTCCAAGGAAGCAATCCAGGGAGAGTACGTGCAGGTCTTGATGGTGCAAACCCTATGAGACTCGATTCTTTATAGAAGGAGACCTGACACGCCTTTAGCTGGAGCACTCTGTGCTCTGCCGAGAAGCAGTAACTGTCAGGTCTCATAACCACACTGGAAAACTTGACTGTGCTCTCAGGTAGATGGTGAGAGCGTCCACACTGCAGCTCTTATATGACAATGAGCTCCAGCTCCACACAGAGGGTCCTTCCTGGTCCTTGCAGACTTCTTTTTCCTAGAAAGGCCTTCTTATAGCATCATCCAGTGTCAAGATGTCTGATCATAGGCCTCGGACAGCCTTTGCTGATCTGGAACTGATGATCCAGATTGAACAGAAATTTGCACGGCTCAGAGATAGTGCTCATGTGGCTAGAAGTAGGAACAAGAAGGCCGTGGTCAGCAGCATTTCCCCTCCATAATGCCACTGTTTCTCTCTTTGCCATCTTGGGTTTTGCTCAGTTCTAGGGCGATAGGTGAGTTACTCATTTTGGCGTGGCCATTCTATTTAGATATGTGTTGAAGTGGCACCTGCCACAGGTTATGATTGGAATCCGCATGGTGAATGTGTCTCTTTAACTTCCAAGTTCCCACATTGGGGTTGATATTCAGGTATAGTGTCAAAGGTAAGACATAAGCCCGTTGTGTGATTTTAAAAACTAAATTAGATGTTAACTGGCTGTGCTCTAATGTCAAGCCTGGAAATGACCAGGAAGAAGTCAAATGGGATCCCTTTCCTACCTTAGTATGAAATGATGATACCAACCCATCTAGAAGGGTATCCTTGCCTAACGATGGGACAGGCTGTCCTTAAAAAGACAGGCAAACAGAAGGCAGTGTTCCTGGTGGTGAAGGGCGTGGACAATAGCATGAAAAAGATTTGTCTTAGCTGTGCCATGACCTTCTTTGTCATTGTAGGCAACTTGCTTTTTGTAGGTTTTGTTTCCTGATTGGTAGATGGCAATAGTAGTCATAGTTTCTTCTTACAGGTTTATTTTTAAAACCTGTCATATTTTTAAAGTGTTAAGCCCAGTCCGTGGTACACAGCAAATAGTCATTAAATAACATACAAATCATTGCATGCACCTATGTAGCATAAGTATTGGTATTGGTATTGGTATTGGTATTGGTATTGGTTTTGGTATTGGTATTCGTATTCGTATTCGTATTCGTATTGGTATGTGTTATCAGAGGAGGAGATCTCCATGCTGCCAGACCCTATGTCCTGCTCTTGACTTGCTGCATCTTCCTCAGTAGAGCTGTTCTTTGACCTTCTACCTATGGTCCCAGTATTTCTTTCTTCATCACAGGAACATGAATTCGGTGCCTTCCTTGCTGCTACTATTTCTTTTACATAGCATCTCAAATTTTCCTCAAATGCTCTTAGAAAATGTTAAAAGGACTAGAAAAACCAGAGCAGCATCTCCTGATATATTTGGAAATATTAAATCTCCCAGTTCCGGGGAGGATATAATCTGGAAATGATATGATCTAAGGTTATTCAATAGTGTTGTTTAATAAGGCACCTATTTGCAAATAATTATACACTACCAACATTAAAGAAAAGCACATAAAGAAATTTTAAGATAAAAGAAAGGAAATCTTTTCATTTGGATTTTTTTTTTTTTTTTGCCAAGTATTTTCACAGACATTTTAGACACTTTATTATTGTGCTAGGGTATTTTTGTTGTTTTATGATCATTATGATTTTTATTTTATAGGTAATAGAACTATGTCTCTAAAAACATTGTATGACTTATTTAAAGGAGTACAGCTAATAAGTGGCAAAACCAGGGTTTAAATGAAGTGTTCTGATTTCTAATGCCATTTCTTTTCCTGATATTTTTCAGCGGGTATTAAAGAGTACGAGTTTGTTGCTCAGAGATATTGTGACAGTTCCAAATAGAAATATGCCTGAAGGGAGTAAATCCATGAATTAAAGAACTGTAAAAAGGTTTCCCGCTTCACAAGAGAATGTTCTGAATATACTTTAACTCCTGGCCTTGTCATCCAAGACAGCCACCAGACTCCACACACACATTCCTTCCAGGGGTTGGATAGACTGTGGCTCTATCATAAGCATGTCTTACTAACTCGAAGTTTTATACAGACATTGCCATTCCTAGCAGGGCTGGGTTCTGCTTGTTAAAAACACAGCCAAAGCTCTCCTCAGCAAGCAGCTTGGTAATATGCTATTGGTGTTCAGACTTTGGTGTCTCGAGTCCCTTTCAAAGGCCTGACCTGAGCCATGAGGAATGCCTCAGTGGTGACCGAGTTCATCCTGCTGGGCATCCCACACACAGAGGATCTGGAGACCGTGCTCTTTGTCCTGTTTTTGACCTTCTACGTCTTCACTCTTGTGGGAAACCTGCTCA